GCAAACGAATGTGGTCCGGTAACAGACCTGGGAGCACGCGCAGAAGACGACAGGCTACCAGCCCCTGATCTTCAAGAAGTTGAGGATCTATTAAAATACGGTGGTGAAGCACTGGCTAGAGCGCTGCACTGGGTAATTGCCAAGATTTGGAAGACGGAGATATTACCGGATGAGTGGATGGAAGGTGTCGTATGTCCAATCTACAAAAAGGGCGACAAGTTGGATTGCTGCAACTACCGCGCGATCCCACTGCTGAGCGCCGCATACAAGGTACTCTCCCAAATTCTATGCCGCTGCCTGTCACCATTTGCAAGAGAGTTCGTGGGGCAATACCAGGCGGGATTCATGGGTGCCCGCGCTACCATGGACCAAATTTTCGCGATTCGGCAGGTTCTGCAGAAATGCCGCGAATACAACGTGCCCACACATCATTTGTTCATCGATTTTGAAATCAAAGTAGTCGTTGGATTACCTGACCTGGTCACTCCTGTTATTTTTCGCTGTCATTCCAATTCAAGAGCTCGATGTGAGCAATTCAAGTTTGCTTTAATAAAACATTCTTTTGTTCGTTACGTCTCGGCCTGTTCATTATTGCCCCGTCCTGTCCACGTAGTTCCTTCAGGTTATGGGCTCGTCTACGGAATTCCGCAGTTGAATGGAACGAACTTCGAGAATTGGTGGTTTCGAGTTCAACTGTACCTGTATGCGGCAGAAGTTTCGGACGTATTAACCAAGCCAGCTCCCGGTGAATCGGACCAGGGAAAGGCGAAGTTTTTGCAGACAGATCGGAAAGCGAAGTCCTTGCTAGTTGGATTCTTTTCTGAGGAATGTCTAGGCATAGTGCAGGACAAGGAGACTGCCCGAGAAATGTGGAAGGCACTGGAAGATACATATGCGAAGAAGTCTGTAGCATGTCAGACCCTGTTGCGGAAGCAGTTGGCCAGACTCCGTATGAAAGAAGGAACTTCGATGCGGCTTAATTTTCAACAGTTCGACGATATCATACGCCAACTCAAATTGGCAGGCGCGAAGCTCGAATATCAACGAGAACGACCTCACATTGGAGACTGTTAAACAGCGGTTACTGGCTGAAGAATCCAAGCGGTCTGATAGGATGGAAGATTCGAGCGAAGACAAGGCAGCAGCGTTTGTTGGAGGCAGAAATAAGAAGCAACGAAAGTTCAACGGAAAGTGTCATCGATGTGGCAAAACTAGCCACATGATGAAAGATTGTCGTGTCAAGAAGACCGATGGTAACGTCAACGCAGCGGTTGGAAGCAAAGCAGTTTCGTTTATTGTGAACCAGAAGCAACCGAAGGTGCAGAACAAGCGAACCATCTTCTACGTGGACTCCGGATGTAGCGACCATCTGGTTAACAGTTTAGATTGCATGCAGTCGGTCCGGTTTCTCAAACAACCTTTCGTTATTGATGTGGTCAAATATGGTGTGTCGATTGTTGGGAAATATGAAGGCGAAGTCAAGGGGATTTCCAAAGAAAGTATTCTGTTCCTGATAAAAAATGTAATTTTCGTACCAGAGCTGCGAGGCAACCTGCTTTCTGTCAAGAAAATGTCCCAATCCGGGATTGACCTGTTGTTCACGCTGATGAAGCAAGGTGATGCGGCGATCGGTGTGGCACAGTTGCGAGGAAATCTTTACGAGTTGGAGTTAGATCTGGACGTGGTAGGACCTACAGCAAATCTCTGCGCAGCGGAGGTCAGCAATCTCTGGTATCGTTGTTTGGGCCACGCCAGTCAGACCACGATGAATACGTTAGCTCCATCCGAAAACCCTGGGGCACTCCCTTCACAACATAGAGGTGATGACTATTCAGAGTCTGACACTAGATCCCCCGGAATCGTACGCCGAAATCGAAGATCAAGAAGATCGACAGCTCTGGATGACCGCAGTTAGAGACGAGTTAAAATCTCTTGAGGAGAATAAGGTGTGGACGACGGTGGAATGCCCTACCGGTGTCAAGCCCTTGCAGTCGAAGTGGGTCTTTCAAGTTTGCTTTAATAAAACATTCTTTTGTTCGTTAAGACTCGGCCCCGTCCTGTCCACGTAGTTCCTTCAGATTTCAAATCCGCATACGACACAATCGATCGAGATCAGTTATGGCAGATTATGCACGAGTACTGATTTCCGGATAAACTGACACGATTGGTCAAGGCGACGATGGATCGAGTGACACGCGTTGTTCGAGTATCGGGGACACTCTCGAGTCCCTTTAAATCTCGAGTGGCCAAGGTGATGGACTTTCGTGCCTGCTATTCAACATCGCGTTAGAAGGTGTGATCAGAAGAGCTGGGATAGACACGAGTGGCACGATCTTCAGTAAGTTCATCCAACTCATTGGCTTCGCCGATGACATCGACATCATGACACAGAACTTTGAAATCGATGGCGGAAACGTACATCAGACTGAAGGCTGAAGCTAGGTGGGTTGGACTTGCCATCAACGCATCGAAGACGAAATACATGAGAGGATGAGGATCTAGGGAAGACAACGTTAGCCTCCCACCCCGAGTTCAGATTGACGGTGATGAAATCGAGGTGGTCGACGAGTTCGTATATTTGGGCTCACTGGTGACCACCGAAAATGATACCAGCAGAGAAATTCAAAGACGCATTATGGCAGGGAATCGTGCCTAGTTTGGACTCCGGAGGTCGCTCTCATATACGGTGGAGTGCAGATGGATGACGAAACGTGGAGGAGGCGAATGAACCACGAATTGCACCAGCTGCTGGGAGAACCGACCATCGTTCACAATGGGCGATCCAGTGAAAATGGTTCTCGAAAGCGACCCAACAGGAACAAGAAGAGGCGCGCAGCGGGCAAGGTGAATCGACCAAGTAGAAGGCGACATGCGGAACCTTCGCAGATTGCGAGGCTGGCAAAGTGTTGCCAAGGATCGAGAAGAGTAGGATCGAGAAAATTGTTCCAGGTCGCACAAGTTTCTTAAATTGTTTATCATAGGGATCTAGAATGTTTAAGTCTCAGCATTGAAAACTTTGACCAAATTATCTAAAGTTTATCCTGGAATATTATTTTTTTTCAAGATCGACATAAGTGGGGATACCCGTCACCATCCCTCCCCAACGGAGGAGTTTGGTAAAGGAGATGATCAACCCGATTCGTACTTTCCTCAAAATTGACCTTCGCTCGCTTCACTGCCATACTCTAACGGAACTATCAACTCTATACTTTCAAATCCTCATCTATCTATCATATAAAAAATGACCACTTTGAGTCTGATATTTGACGTTAAGCAGCTCCAACTATGTAAATCGTTAACTTCACGCATGAAGCAATACTAACATGATTAGTTAAACATATATATAGTATATATCATAACAATTCATGCTGGTATGTTACTGTAGTAGCTGGAGCGGAAGATTAAGTTGGTTGTATTATATAATGTTTTGAAAATCATTGACGTACTTTAATTTATTCTATTCATATTTCTAAGTATTGCTTGATGCTTGAGAATTTCAAAATTCCCTGAGGATTCTCGGTTTTCCAAGTTTTTCCATGTATTTTAAGGCAGTAGACTGATGAAAATTACCCGTTTCAAGAAAACCATTTCCTCGTAGATTGCTCAGGCAAGTCTCAATTTGATAGTGCTTCATTTCCTGTAGTTCTTCCTGTTTGTAGCAATGGTTTCCTCTACGACATCCTTTTCAACCTTTCTGCAACCGAGACGCGCCGTAAAAAGCTTTTTGGAAGCTCCTGATCCCCTCGACTCAGTCCGGCGTCTTCAGTTCTGGGACGCACTCTGGAAGGCATTTTGAAAGCCCTCGATCTCTCCGACACGAGATAGGGTTTTCCAACCAGCTTCAGCAGGCAAGTACCTCGTAAGTGTAGTGTTCAAATTTTAGCGGTATTGTATGCAGCACTCCACATTGTATCACGACTCCATCGTCAACAACGGATCTGTTACAGGAAGTAAGTAGCTCATCTCTTGCGCATCTACTATCAAAATTTGCGAGACAACGCATCTGTTTGGGAATGCTTTTGCTGTATACCATACATCGAATAGAGCGCCAGGACAGTTTTCGATCATTTGAGTTTGTATCGCTTCCAGCTAAGAAGCAGTGATTAATCCAAAATTGCTGTGAATAGCAGATACGTCTGTTTGAAAATTCATTTTTAAATTATTCTGTTAAGTCCTCAGAAACGTCCCTCGAATTGTCCTCCAAGTATACTGTACTTTTTCATTGAGTTATTTAGACTTGATTGACTACCAAACTCTGCACTGCGGAGCTTACCATCCCTGTCGGGAAACTAGCAGTACTACAAAACTGACCAGTGATCGTCACGATGGACCATAGTATCTACTTCTTCTGTTCCGGATTCCGATCTCCGTACGTATAAAGTCTCCAAGTCGTGTCTTGCGTCTTGCGAACATGTATGAAACACCATTATTACACAATAAGAAAAGACATGACAGTCATCGATGACTACGTTGAAATTTGCAGAAATACGCATTCGAGCTTACCACTTCCAAAGTGCTACTTTCCTATGGTTTTTCGCTTTTCTGCTCTTCGCGTACAGCTGTTTGAACATGCCAAACATAGCTCAACCAACGAACGGCAACGATGCAATCCTCGCTCGCCCCGCACTCGTCTACCGTGCTGCTCCAGCAGCGCAGAGGGAAGCTCAGCTGAGGCAGCAGTCCACACAGATATAAACAAAACAGGTGCCTTCGAACAAGGGATCGATATCCTTCCAACTACATGGGGGCGAATCCCCAGCGGAATTGTGGGTCATAAAGTGCCTTTCCTTGGCTAATAATTACAAAAAATACATTAACCATTAACCTTCCAATATTATAAAGCAAACAAGACGTGTTGTCAAAATGTCGATGCTTTTTTTCCTTTCTTTCTTTCTACCGAGGTATACTTCAGAGGCTAATCCCCTCCCGAGATGAGTGCAAAGCCCTGGTGCAAAAATTAAAAACGCAAAAAAAATGGCATAAACCTAAACGCTACTCACCTGAAACCAGCTGCTAACGGAAGTCCGTGCGGGTCGCAATCCGTAGACGGTGAGTTCCACTGGGGAATCGCTCGTAAAATCCGCAAAAATCGACACAGAAAATAGACTTTTCCTCACTGGTGCTGTTGCTGCTGCTGCTATACAACTGTCGCGGAGACGATTGAAAAATACGATGAATTCCGTCACACTTACAGCACAAACAGAACTCTTTTGGTCTCTTGGTCCAATGATGTTCATATAAGGTCCGAGCCAACAGGCAGCTTACTGGTGTTAGAAGCAAAAATATTGTAAACATTGCTGAATACTCAAGCGACGACGTCACTCAAACAGTGAGATTACGTCACTGCCAACAGCTGTTTCGTGAAAAAGATAAACATTGCAATGAAATACGAACACCACTAAACATTTGCACATTTCACTACCCCAATAACCCTGTTGGCCTGGACCTTATATAAAGACATTGCTCTTGGTCGACAATGCACACCAATGAACGTCATTGGTCGCACACACCTTCAAATTCCCAGCGAGAGATTTTCACAACTTCAACCAAACCGCGAGCGATTCTAAGAGAAAGAAACGCACACACAAGTGCAACTACTGAAACGGTGCAGCAAACAAAAGATTGACTGAACTGACGAAACGTCACGACCGCGGAACTGCTCGAAGTTTGAGCCAATGTTGCAGGGATGTGCTTGTCTGCGGCCGAGCAAAAAAGGTGCTTGAATCAGCTCGAAAAAGAAATTGAGAAAGCGCGGAGCGGAAATTTTGAACACGTCAAATTTGGAAAATCTAGAATGTGAAGTAACTGCCAACTACGATCCGAGCTACGATCAACAAGACGACAGTGAAACAATTTTCTAGAATTGTTCAATGCGAGGTTCAATGTAGAGTTCTAACAGGTTGTATTTGCAATCAAAAGCAACAGCAAACGCATCGAGAAACGTTAAATCTAGCGAATTATTACCAAAAGAGAAAATCGTCGAAGAGAATCGATCATCGCGTTTACGCCCTTATGCATGCTCACTGTCGAAGTTTTCGTTTCAATACCGGTAGAATAGCCGGCGGCCAGGTGGCAGTAGGAAAGAAATCTCGGTGATGGACATCGAAAACAGAAGAGGTCCCAGATTACTCCTTTGAGAAACGCTGGAAACATTCGTATATACTTTACCTCGTACTTTACACGGATACGAATTTTGTTCATTTATATCAAAAATATAAATGTTTATACTTTGCTCCGGACTTAACTGGAAACCAAAACGAAACATGATCATCAAGCTTGACCGACATATTTCGTCCAGTCAGGTACGAGCACAGTCAACAGTGAAGGATTCCTAATCTGTCAAACTTGGGCAGGGCAATTTCGTGATCCATTTTATCGAAAGCAGCCGACAGATCCGTAAAAATCGCATCTAGTTGCGAGCCTTTCTCCATTTGGTTAACGACGAAAGAAGTAAATGTCACAAGGTTGGTGGTAGTCGACCGTTTGGTAGCAAATCCATGTTGATCTGATGTGATATATTGCGAGAATTTCTGTGATAAGGGGCTGTTCATAAACTACGTGGACAGTTTAGGGGGGGGGGGGGGGGGGTTGAGAATTATCCACGGCCCATACAAATTTTAATTTTTTTTGTATGGACAATTGTCTACGCAGGGGGAGGGGGGGGTCAAGAATCCCAAAAAAACTGTCTACGTAATTTATGAACAGGCCCTAAGAAGTCCAGGACAATCAATTGGAAAATTTTTTGACGACGTACACAAGTCGGTAATACCAACAATCAATACGAAACTAACGATTTTAAATTGGCTCACCACTTTAGTAGCCTATTGGTCCCAAGCAAACGATTAACGTACCCTATTCTAGTCGAAATTCTAGTACTACGCAACGTTTGTTTTGATTCGCTATGAAAGTTTGACAGATAAAATGAGGGATTATTAGTTTTTCCTATGTTTCGAGGGGTGAATCGATTAGCTTGGGACCGAAGAGAGTACCAGAGCTGAGCCAAAAAGTTGAGCACATTTCTGCGGGACCTTCTAGTCTTAGAGTTACCTCTATGGTAATACCAACAATCAATACGAAACTAACGATTTTAAATTGGCTCACCACTTTAGTAGCCTATTGGTCCCAAGCAAACGATTAACGTACCCTATTCTAGTTGAAATTCTATTACTACACTATGTTTGTTTTGATTCGCTATGAAAGTTTGACAGATAACATCAGGGGTGTGTGGATTCATGCAGAACATGCAGGGGTGAGTGAAATAGCTTGGGACTGCTTGGGACCGTTGTTCTGGTACTGAGTGAGCCAAAAATAATAATGATTTTCTTCGGGACCCAGTGGTCTTAGAGTTACCTCTATGGTATCACCATCGAAGTAACCGGTAAGGTGGACGCAGGAACCATTCGTACGATGATATAGCCTGTACTGAGTTCTCTTCTGATATTTGCGCAGATCAATACCATGACAGCGCGAGTCAAAATCACCCTGGCGGTGTTCGATTACGGCACATTACCACGTTGGGAAACAAAAGCCTTCTCGAAGAAGTGTGTTGCTTCAGATGAAACCGCCATCCCTTTGAAACTAACCAAAGGTGTCCTAGGGCTTTAGTTTCGAGTGCTCTATTCACAGGTCGGATCTCCTCGCGGTGGTACAGGGTAGGCACCAGAACGGTAGGCTCATCGAGCGACGTGTTGGCCGTACGATTCCTACTGTGTTACCTGACTTATAACGAATATACGTTGTATACGAGTACCCCGAATACAACGTATGACTCGTCTAATTTGCATAGCATTTGCAATGTAAAATTAGACGCCCAACAAACAATTTGAGCTGAATAATGGCTGAATAAGCCATTTTTTAGCTGAACAAGCATATTTTTGCCTGAATAAGCTCTTATTCTGAATGCAATGTTTGTTGGGCGAACTATACGTTGTATTCGGGGTACACGTATACAACGTATATTCGTTATAAGTCAGGTAACAAAGTATTGTCAGGATGCACGGATTCGAAGCAGCAGATCACGCTGATGACAAGAGGCTGCATTGACCGGGCACAGGTCATCACAATCGGCAAGAACCATCCACGACGAGCGCGAGAGGGAGGCGTACCTACTCGCGAGTCTCCTCAAGTTGAGAGGTCATCGGAGCGACCGATTTTCGATCGTGTCTGGCGGATGCGAAGCGGCGTGGATCCCAAGCGACGAAGTGAAAGGGAGCATCGGTGTGCCGTGTGTGTCGTGCCCATCCAATTCGAGCGGCGCAGCTTCACCCACATGGAGCGGCGGTAAAGGGCGCACCCGGCCGGTATTTCGTGAGTACTCATATGAAGAAAATTATGTATAGTTAGAAAGAACAGTAGTTTAAGAGCGGAGGCGCAAAGCGCGATGAAAGGAGGCAAGGACAGGGATAAGGAGGCAGGTAGGAGAGAATGAGGTGGCAGAATATGCAAATAATAAAAGCTTGCCTATGTTGATTGTGTAATTTTTTGGGGTGTTTATTTTGCTAGCCGATCCGACCCAAGCTTTCCCATACAAGCAAAGGTCGTATGCAACAACCAGCAAGTCTGAAGCAGCAGGTATAGTTTCAATACGTCCTAGAGTCTGAGCAACTTGCGAAGGATGCCTTGATGATGCAGGGAAATATTGGCTGGAAACAATGGACGGATCGAGGGACGGATCAGGAGTCGTTGAATCGATAACAGAAGTTGACTTGCCTATGCTGTCGAGTTAGAAGACCCCTGCACTACTCCCGCACGCAGGGCCGAGACGACTGCTGCAGTGTCGAGTTGCATTGTGATAGCTGATGAGGTAAGGCTGTCGGAAATTGGCTGCAAGCGATGAATGGATCAGGAGTCATCGAGTACACTAAATCATCGTACTTGCCTTTGACATCGAGTTGGAAGACCCGTGCACTATTTGAAACCTATCGTTACTTCCAAAATCTTTCAGAACTTCTACGACCTCATCAGCTTCTTGATCACCAGTTAAGCTATATGGATTCATTCGGAGATCTCTGAAGCTTTCCGAAGTCCTCTGAATAGCTCTAAAGTTTGGAGACTATCTCTTAGGCACATAGGTCTTCGCTTTTCACTGAATCTATATATAGTTTGTCAAATTCCGAAGTTCTTCAAGCTTCGCCGTTTCTTCTTTGCATTACCTTCTTAATTGTCTTAGAGAAGTTCAGTAAACTCCAGTCTTGCAAATTATATATATAATTTTCCTGTATTTAAAAAAGGTCAGTGGATACCTATCAGATTTCAGAGAAATTCAATGAAATTTAGAGAAGCACAAGGAACTTCATAATAGTTTAAAACAAAATCAAAAAGACTCAGGGAACACTTCAACGATGTCTGGGTTAATTTCAGAGGAGACTACTGTGTTACCTTACTTATAACGAATATACGTTGTATACGTGTACCCCGAATACAACGTATAGTTCGTCTAATTGAACATTGCAAATGCTATGCAAAATTAGACGAGTCATACGTTGTATTCGGGGTACTCTTATAGAACGTATATTCGTTATAAGTCAGGTAACACAGTAGTAAACTCTAGATAAGTCTAGCAACATTTTGGAGAAATTGTTTGAAGTTTGATTGAAGTTTTAATCAATGAACTTCAGATAAATTCTAGCTAAAGGAACTTAATTTTACATAGTTTAGGGAATACCAGAAAGACTCAGATAATACCTCAGAAAAGTTTGGGAACCTCAGAAAGGCTCTTCGGAGACGTTCTAAGGAACCTGAGGGAAGCTTAGGTAATTTTAGAAGCGCCTCAATCTCGAAATTCCTTTGGAAACCTTTATTAAGATCTAAGAAAGTTACAGGAAATTTAAGAACTTTAGTACTATAAAGAGGTCCAAAGAAACTTAACATAATTCAAGGATCCTCAAAAATACTTACTACTGCATGGCTTTTTGCGACAGGATGATTCACCTAAAGTGCGGCGGCACAAAGCTGAATAAGGCTTTTTTGAATATTGTCCACACTAGCCCGAACCTGTTTTGGATGTGTAACGAGTGCGCCAAGCTGATGAAATGTGCTCGGTTCAAAACTGCCGTCTCGTCGTTTGGCAGTGTGATTAATTCTATCACTGAGAGACAGGAAATCGCACACGCTGAGCTTAGGAAGGAAATGGCTAAGCAAGAACAGCAGATCGCTCAGCTATCGA